CAAAATGTGGTTCCAAAAATGTTATTTTGACATTAGAGAGACAAGGTGGATGAGGTAATATCTTTTATTGGACCAACTTCGGTTGATGAGAAACAAGCTTTTGAGCTACACAGAGCTCTTCTTCAGATCTGGGAAAGGTAGTCAGAGTGTCACAGCTAAATACAAAGATGGGATAGATTGTTTAGCGTAAGTAGTTAACACATATTTCAAAGGACAACTCAAGGTGAAGTAACTCATTAATAACCCTCCACTCATAGGGAGGAAAGGAAAAGGAGAGGAATTATCAGAACTTTTTGTCCCCCCAAAACAAAATTGCAACTAAACTGGACTGATTTCACAAAGCATTTTTATTTTGGATGTACTGTATATTCCAAACAGCTCTCTGATCAACTCTGCTAAGAAGGAGACAGAGGTGGTGTGTTATTATTTTCCTTTTCTTTATATTAGAGTTGGCAAACACATACAATTTCAAAACATTTAAAATCTGAGCCATACAGTAACTGAATTTTGAAGCTGAAGAAGCTTGTTGGTTCTTTACAAAATGGGAATATTTTCACAAAAAAACTTTGTCCCGTCTTCCTTCCCACCTCCGGAAATCAAATAGGAGAGAAAATGGAATTCAAAGTTATGAACGAGGTCTAGATTCCAACTTGTCTAAACAGTTTTCTTTTTTCCCCTTAAAATTATTTCCTCTTTTTTCTACTGGCAGTAGTGAGATTCTCAGGTATACTATACCAACACATAGATCACCTATTCTTGCATGAAATCTGTAAGTATTCTGTTACCCACAAAAACTATTTTAAAAGAAGATTAAGGTTGCAAAATGAAGCACTCAATAGCTAAGAAATGCCAAAAATTATAAGGTAGAATAGCATGTGGTCATTTAATTAAAGACTGTAACATAATGTGTATGCACTGAAGTAAAGTTGCACAGGTAACTTTAATTCTGGCATTTCCTAACTTCTGAATGATTCACTTTGTAACCTCAGTAATGCTCTTTTAGTGTATTGTGATTGTGTGTCTCAGTGGATAGCTCTCTGAAAACATCCACTAAATGTGCAGTGGCAGTCAAAAAAGTGATCAGAATGTTGGGAATCATTAAGAAAGGGATATATAATAAGACAGAAAATATCATATTGCCTCTATATAAATTCATAGTACACCCGCATCTTGAATACTGCATGCAGATGTGGTCGCCTCATCTCCAAAAAGATATATTGGAATTGGAAAAGGTTCAGAAAAGGGCAACAAAAATTATTAGGGGTATGGAGCGGCTTCTGTATGAGGAGAGATTAATAAGACTGGGACTTTTCAGCTTGGAAAAGAGACAACTAAGGGGGGATATGATATAAGTCTATAAAAGCATGACTGGTGTGAAGAAAGTAAATAAGGAAGTGTTATATAATCCTTCTCATAACACAAGAACTAGGGGTCACCAAATGAAATCAATAGGCAACAGGTTTAAAACAAACAAAAGGAAGTATTTCGTCACACAACGCACAGTCAACCCGTGGAACTCTTTGCCAGAGGATGTTGTGAGGGCCAAGACTATAACAGGGTTCAAAAAAGAACTAGATAAATTCATGGAGGATAGGTCCATCAATGGCTATTAGCCAGGATGGGCAGGGATGGTGTCCCTAGCCTCTGTTTGCCAGAAGCTGGGAATGGGCAACAGGGAATGGATCACTTGATGATTACCTGTTCTGCTCATTCCTTCTGGGGCACCTGGCATTGGCCACTGTCAGAAGACAGGGTACTGGGCTAACTGGACATTTGGTCTGATCCAGTGTGGCCGTTATGTTCTAGCATGTAATTTTTAGGGCTTTTTTATGAAACTGCACAAACAGATATTCCTTCATGTGGCTTCACTTTGACACTCAAATGGGTCATAAGCATGGTTAGAACATTTAGATTCATGCAGACCTCTGAAGCTTGAGTTAATGCAGTAACTGATAGCAGTAGTAGATACTGCTGGAAATCTGACTGTTGACTCTGCATTCGAGTCTGGAAGCTTCCTCCTCGATGCTGCCCGGCACCCAGAAGGGGGAGCACTGAAAGCATAGGAGAGAGAGTCTTCCTGCTCTCAGTTCTTGTGCCAAGTGAAACAGCAGCCGGGAGCAGCAACCGCGGCAATAGTCCTGCTCAGCACCTGCAGCCCTAGGATTGAGCTATATGCTAATTACAGACAGAAATGTCAAAGAAAGTATCTAGTAAATGTAGCTAGTATTTAGCAAACTCTAACAAATCTCTACTGAGATTGTGCGAACAGATTTTCAGAGGCTCATAACTTGGCAAGTTTTGGGTGTTTTTCCACAGGAAAGTTCAGCTTCTCAACAAAACAGTTATCAGAGTCTTCCTCCCCACCCGCAAATATGGTCTGAACTATTTCTGGTGAAACTCGCCAACAAACTTCAGCCTCATGCAGACACCCAACATAGAAAATTTCAGCCTGAATAGTTAAAGTTTGGCAAAGTCATATGTAACTCTAAACAGGGTTTTATAATGGGACAATATTATCAGCTCTGCCCATAATAAAGAGCATTAAACACAGTGCTTCTTCTACACATTACATTCGGGATTCCATGATGCAATTTTTTTTTCATTTAAAAAATAAACAGTTATGCAGATTTCCTACAACAGTTGTTCTACTAGTTTTAAAATACCACACTTAGTAAGCACTAAAACCACAATAATTATGCCATTTGGAATAGTTTGGTGCAGCAATCTTGAGAACTGACTCATCCAACACAGTTTTTGTTTTATTGAACACAGTAATAACACCAGGATGATCCTTCAAGTCACTTTTATCTTTTATAGGACTTTCATAAGAAGAAATATGTAAATCTTTCTCAAAAGACTTAATAAAGGTCTGTCACTTATGCCCTCTTAGAGCTTTGTATCATCAGAATAGAATTATCTTTTGTAGCTTCGGGACAATAAATATGATAATAATACTGTATTATGAAGTACTGGTAACATTTTGTAAAAAGTTTTTTCCCTAATTTCAAATTTCCCTGTCTGTCCACATGCCTGGAGATTTTCCATTTTGTGTTCACATGGCTCTTCAACCATATTCATTTATAGGACTATAAAATGATAAATAATTGACTTGACAATGTAGTTAAATAAGGTGGCTTAAAAAGACAACTCCTAATTGCCACTATTTTCCGACTTTGTCTCCCACACAACCATAGCATAAGAATTTTAAAAATCTTTACACTGCACCCAACCAGTCTCAGCAGGAGACTTCTACCACCACTACTCTACCCATCTTCCCTCTGGCTTCATTTGTCACCAAGACATTAACAAAAATCTCAGACAACACGTTTGGTTTGGGTGTTAGACAGGTAAATTTAGACTGAGTGAGAGTGCCCTTCTTTCCACATCAGGGTGGTCATTTTATATCATTTTCAGTTTTTTGTGTTTGGCAGTCTCAAATTAGAATATGCAGTTTCCCTCAGAACGGTGAACCGCACCCACTGGGAGCTGGGGAGGAGAGGGGGGCGTGCCTGCGGATGGTCAACATCAGCAAAATGTCTCGTGGCCTGCAATCAGATTACCCTGATGGGCTGCATGCGGCCCACGGGTCGCAGGTTGCCCACCACTGGCCTAGGGTCTTGGATAGGTGTCTATTATTTTTTAACTCTAAAATAGATACATACAACTAATAGACTCACTGACACATACCACCTATCTACCTTTGCTGCTGGTACCCCTGAACTGGATCCTATAAAGCCACTGCAATTTTTTTTTCTTTTACCACAAAGTTCACTTCTGTGTCAGGTTATCCCTCTGATTTTGAGTAGCCTTACGGATACTACTCATGCGAATGGAGTTAAGCACATGGATAAACGTTTGCATGACTGGGGCCAAATGTGCATATCCAATGATATATCACTGTTGTACCCCCCATTTTGCAATCTCCCTTCCCAATATTTATTGTTATCCTTTGCGGTGTTACATCTAATTTAGACTGTCTGCTCTTAGAGAATGTCATTTTATTTGTCTGTAATGCTCTATTATATGCATCCATGGTACTATATATTGTTTAATAATAATTAAGGAAATGTATAGCTTTAAACAATCTAGTACATCTCTAAACAAATGTGTGTTATCAATTAATAACAAATGTGCAACTTTAAAGACTTTTTTTTTTTAAGTGCAATGCACCAATGGATATAGTCACATACTTGTGTGGTTTCAAAACAAGAAAGCTAGTGTACTTTAAAAATATAAAGCATTTGGTGTCTCAGTAATGATAGGTGATTTTATGAACCACAACACCCAAATAGAACAGGAGTACTTGTGGCACCTTAGAGACTAACAAATTTATTAGAGCATAAGCTTTCGTGGGCTACAACCCACTTCTTCGGATGCATATAGAGTGAAACATTGAGGAGATATATATACACACATCCAGAGAGCATGAACAGGTGGGAGTTGTCTGACCAACTCTGAGAGGCCAATTAAGTAAGAGAAAAAAAAAACTTTTAAAGTGATAATCAAGATCCAAATACACTCAGAACTTTACTTATTCATCATGCCAGGTAACTGTTCAATACACAAATTGCTTGAAGTTCAGCTTTAAAGTGTCCTGAGATTTTAATTGTTTTTTGCCTCTCTCTTTCGCATGACAGCATCACTCCCCTAGCAAATGCCTATAGCAACACTTTGCAAAAACCAGAATCCATGTCATTGCTTCCCTTAATAATGTCCCATAGGTATGGTTACTTGTTCTACAAGTTTAGCTGAAAACCTCAAGAGTCTCTGGACCATCTGGGCGCAAAACCCAGACAAAGACAAATAAAAAATCAGCACCAAAACCTCTGTAAACAACAACACAACCAAAACTTTCAGTATTGCTTACTTTAAAAAAATACAACACATTCCCTTTAAGATAAGGCTTACTATTTATTCCTGTATCTTAATCCATCTTCTGAGTCATTGTTTCGTATACAGCTTGATTTCCTGAAGCTGGAGATGTGGTAGTAATTGCTTACCTGACTCACAGGCAAATGTCTTTGATGTCTCATCATGAAAAATAATTGCCACTGCATGCTTCTTTGTCTCTCTAGGCAGTCTGGTTATGTTTTTGATGTTGTGAAGCTCAGTTACCTTGAAGTGAAGAGAAACGTATTTTAGACCAATGTATAAATAGTACAGAACACTCAACCCAGATGTTCAGTTTTCACTACAATCACCACATTGTCGGATCACCATCTGAATTCATTTTCTTGTAGCTGAGAAACAATATACAAGTGTGTCAAGTCAACAGCTGTAGAATTGTCTACAGAATTTATCTCCTGTCAAAAATGTGTGGTCTTATTTTTTTTCATTTTATGAGAATGTGCGTGAAAAAGTATTAACCTATTCTTTTTCATTTAGACTGGCTTTGCACTCTCCCTATAATACAACAAACTTGTGTGAATATACAAATTAGCAAATCTGTTGCAGAATTTGTAGCAAGTATGTCACTGTTAAAGAAATAGCAGTATCTTATTAGCCAAGGGAAGCAGCCAATTCATTGTGCCAATTAATACCATACACCATATTGACACTGTGTCATTTATCTTTAAAGTGGAATTGGCAGCTCCAGTGCCGTCCTTGTCAGAACTAGAAAGTCATGATTCTAACTTTAACTGTATTGATCCAAAAATTGAGAAGGTCCAGGAAAAATTTAGCTAGAAGAAATTAGCCATAATATAAAAAATTAATTGTATAAAAATGCAATATTTATTTCCCCATCCTTCAAGACACATGGATAATTTCAATTAGCACTAAATGGGAGAAAAATACCCAGAAAAATACGAGTACTACTAGTACTGCCTATTAAATAGTACTTCCCATTACAAGGCCCTGATTTTAGTTCCTCATAACTTTGTGAAACTTTAACCGTTTGGCCTGAAATTTTCCAGGCCAGGTGTCTCCCTCATGCTGAATTGTTCTGAAAAATTTCAGTCAAAATAGTTCAGCTATTTATAAAAAAGATGCTAAGGGTTTTACCCATAACAACAAAATTCTGGAGGCCTTTTCTATGGACAGTTCTAGCACTCAGATTCAGGGACTAGAAATTTGGCAGGGGGATGACCTCTATGTCATCAATGGGCCTTTTGCTGTCCCCATGAAAATCTGCCCAAATTTGGCCAATGTATAAGCATTTGAAAAAATTCCCCTTTGCACATGCTCAGTAGAGACTTCAGGGATTTTAGCTGCTAAACTCTCACAAATTTCTATTCATGCTGAGTATGTTCCAGCCCAGGGCTACAAAGGACCTTCCCTATACTTGCTTGTTTGGGTTGCTATGGGCTGTGAGGGTCTGGACTCCGGACCTGAGAGCAGGGAGTTTGTCTCATGAAAGCAACAATACCCCTACTCCCACTACCCAGAATGCAGAGGTCAAAAGATTACATGATCACATACTATATATTCCACAAGACCCCTGCCTCAGGACACAGGATGGACAGTGCTCATTGAATAAACAGCTATTCAATATTTTGTTTTATCTTCATTGTTCAACATGTGGCCCTATATATTATGTACTGCACACTGCTCTGAAGACAGAATTGTTCATTTCCTCACAGTTTTTTTTTTTATGGCGCTCATCACCATCGTATCTGAGTACTTCATAAACAATTCATTTAATATTCACAATACTTCCGCACCTCCGTGAGGTGAGGGGATGGTATTACCCTATTTTACAAATGGGAGCTGAGGCACATAGAGATTACGGTCAAAAGTATCCACTAATCTTGATTAGTGACACCTGTTGCCTCCAGAGAAGCTCCGCAAAGAAGGAAGGGGGAAAAATTCATTAATTAATGGTGGGAGGGGAGGAAGCCCAGAGTCCAATAACTGAAGGGCAGGAAGATGCCAGAATTTAATAAATGTAGGGGAACCCAAAATTAATTCACTAGAAGATAGGAGGGGGCAGAAACTCCCAGGCTCATTAATTAGGAAGAGGATTTAGGCTCAGAAATCATGTGTTTGTTTGAGTGGAGGGAGCCCAAATTAACTAACTGAGGTGTAGGTTAGTTCTCAGCGTTCGATTATTGGGGGAGCTCAGAATCTATTACATTATTTATTATCAGCAATCCATGGACAGAGGGGTAGGGAAATAGGTTTCACCCATACTCTGAGTCCCTCTCAACTTCACCATAGGGCACTTGGATGTCAGTGATGCGTAGAAAACCCCCACACTTTGGCACCAGGACTATGGCCAAAATACAGGTGGGAGGAGCATTCGAGAGGAGTGGCTTTCTCTCTTCCCAGACTTCTCAAAACCCCAGCCAAGCTAGTGATGTGGTTATTTATTGGTGGGGGAGTGAAGATGTAAATTAAACAGATGTAGTTTTGGAGGATTTGTAGCCTTGGAAGTGTGAAATCTCAGGTACTTTTCACTACGGCTAGCAAAGTTGGGCCCATACTTTTAAAGGTATTTAGGTACCTCAGGATGCAGATACGTGGCTAGTGAGTTTTTTCAAAGATGCCTAACTGCCATTGACTAAAGATTAGGTGTTCAGAATCTAAATAGATAAGCAACACTATAACATGCAAGAAATATAGATGACCCTAATTAAATGTGGAAAAGCATATGAAGAGGGTGTTGGATGTGTCTGCATAAATGGTTGTGAGAACAACATTCAGAAAAACCCAGTACAATACCTACTAAATTAACAACGGAAGGTTTCTCTCTCTGGAGCAAGAGGAAAGGAAATATTAGATAATAATCTTCAAAAGCTTTGAATGGTGACAAGATGTCATAAACTGTATCAAGAACTCTTTAAACAACTCTTCAGCCAGAGGTGTAAGCTATTCTAGGTAGTGATTTTTTCCTTTATCACTTGAGGATTAAAGATTATCAAAATGATCCTGCAGTAAATAGTTCCTGAGCTGCCACTGATTAAAAAAAATAAAAAAGATAAAAAATACTCCAATCTGGGCACCAAAACTATATAAGAATTTTGACAGTAATTCAAATTTTATTCAGAGGCTACTATCAACAAAACTGGGGAGACATATTTAGCCATCCATACAGAAGCAAAACATTCTACTAGTCCCTCATACTAATCAGTATATTAAATTACATCATGCAATAAATAATTGTATTAAAGTACATCAGCAGTACATTTTCTATTGAAAAATCAGGATCAGTCACACACCGAGTAGCATTCAATATGGCCAGTTGGAAGTAAGCAGGGAGTGAGTCCTTCTGTTTCACTTACTGGGAAGAAATGGAGTCAGATACAAACCTTGGGAGCAGGGCAATACACAACACCTGTTTGCTTTACTCACAGTCTAAAGACACCAAAACTTCAGTGGGACAACACACATGAGTACAATGAAAAACATTTAATCTTTACATGGGAGACCATTTTCTGCCACATTCTCTTTGTCCTTTTCTATGTGCTATGACCAGCACTGAGCCGCCATGGATCTCCAGATTTTCAGTAGACTGTTTGTAAAGTTCCTTGTTTTGGTGGGTCAAGTACAGCTGCATGAAATTCACATTTTGTTTCATGGGATTTTGATTCCTAAAATGTTGTGGGCTCCCTGCCACTCATATTGGTTATACATGGCGGAGGGGTAGTTCTTTGTTGAATAATGCATAATTTCATGTAGAAAATATGCTTATTTTTTCCATAAAATTCATGAAATTTTCTATGGAAATGGGCCTATTCTCAACACCGTAAGAAAATATTTGGAGTTGTTTTGCATTTAATTACAAATGTTTCCCCTGTATAGACTTCTGTTGTTAGAAACCTCTCAAGGTTTAGAGCCTGTTCTCAGGATTTTTCTTGGTCAATAAAAATAGAACTCTAGTACTGCATTTTTTTAAACGGCTACTTCTCTTGTCACTAACGGGACATTGCCTAATTGAACTCCAGCCATTTCCCGAAAGTGGAGTTACAATTACTTTCAGGTACTCCCAACTGCTCCTGAGCCCTCCTAACGACATCTGTGGTTTTCAAGTCACACATTTTCATTTTTTAAAAGTATTTCTCACCCATTCCGGTATGATATGCCCACACAAATATCGGGACAAATTGACCAAAAGGCTACACAAGTGAAACTGACTACTGAGAAATAGTGAAAAATAGACCATACTCAAAGTACTGCCAAGTGCATAAAATGAACAAAACTGGAAAAAAATAGTCAAGATGTTTGCTTTCTTTAATCTTTTTCTTATAACAATCTCAGACAAAACTGTCCTGTTAACTGATGCAAAAAGAATCACCTTAGCAATGGTGGTGGAGCCTTCCCAAAAGTGGGTGGGTCCCTGCCCCCTCCGTGGCTCCACCCCACCCCTTCCACCGAAGGCCCCACCCCCGGCCAAGCCAGAGCAGGCTGGGAGCCACGGACCCTCCACCTGCCTGGAGTAGGGGGGCCAAGAGCATCTCCCAGCCCTTGTCCACACCCAGCAGGCCCCCTGCTCAGGGTTTGTGGCTCCTGCACAGCTTTCCCCAACCCAGCTCCGGCCAGGGGATGGGGCCTCGGAGCCGCAGCCTGTCCATGGTAACAGCTGCGCTGCGTGGCCAGGCAACTGTGGGGAGCCATGACGTGACCCTCCACTTGCCCTGTGTGAGGAGCCCAGGGGACAGGGATATGGGCTGCTCTCTTCCCCTCCCTTCAGCCCCGGCAGGTGGAGGGTCCACGGTGCCCCATGCTGCCCAGGCTCCCTAGCTGGTCTCCAGGTGCCGGCCTGGCTGGGTAGGCGGGATGGCTCATGGCAAAAAGTGGACAGGCCAGGCCTGTCCACTTTCAAAAAGTGGGAGGACCATGGATCCTCCAGTTCCAGCACCCTTGCACCTTATAACAGAAAATGATCCAGTTTTCACATCATTTTGCTTCTGGCATTTTAGCAACTCCCTCTGTTCATAATGGGTCAGGTCCTCAGCCCTCTTACAGCAATGCGAAAAGGGACAGAAAATTGTCTTTAAAAGCCCACTAGGGATTATCCTTATATAAGGGAATCACTGATTTGCAGAAAGCTAGCATTGCTAGCTCTTCATCAACTGCTCCTGTCAGCTCAACTTATACTGAGGACCCGATAAGTTCATGACTGCTCCTAGCATCAAAATGTGGAAAGCTAATAGAAAGCAACTTACGTCTCTGTA